CCTTTCTAAAATTCCAGGCTAAAACTCTGTTCAACTCTTGGTCAACCCCAAGGTATCGGATGACGGTTTCCATAAACTAGTATCGGGTTACAATCGCCAATCGCCAGTTCTGAATTAAGCTGTAGCGGCTGTATTACAACTCTGTAACAGGTCAGACGGCTTTGATCTGCACTATTTTATCTTTCGATCGCATATGCTTGTCACTACATCGCGTAAATCAAGAGTCGTTCAAAACCTTCCGGATTTAATTGGGGTTTATTATCTGCTCTGCGTGGACTTCGACTTAGAGATATACAAGGCAACCAAAAGCTAACCTGGAAGTTGAGCTACAATAGCTATTCTCAAGTAACGTGACCATTTTGTCAAGAGATTTATAGTATCATCGTGATCTGGAAGTCTGCTATAACGAATTTGGCGCAGACACGAGGTTTTCCGATCTCTTCTGGATTACTCTTCGCGCTCTGAAATTGGAAGACAATGGCAGGGAAAACACGTTTGAGAACACTTCACGCAAATCTTATTGTGTACCTGTTCTTTGTTTTTGTTTCAAATTGGGGATACTCCAAAGCGCAGAATGGAATTCCTGAAGGCGCTGCCTCGCTTGTGTTCGTTTTCGACACGACAGGTAGCATGTACGACGATCTGATTCAAGTTCGCGCTGGAGCGGCTAAAATTCTCTCCACAACGTTAGAGAGGAAAGTCAAGCCTTTGTATAATTATGTTTTGATACCTTTCCATGATCCAGGTGGGTATTTTGGAATATTACACAGCCATTTGTTTCATTATGCTCAGATGGACACTAATTGATGTGATATCTTGATGATCTTCAGTTTGTCAATTTCATACTATGATTGTGCGTGTTTAATGTATACTAACACTTTTGTTTACGTTGATTAAATTTCAACAAAATGATTTAGGGCGATTTATTGATCAATCGTTATATTTACTTCGAATAGTCCATTATTTCAATCGATTCCTTGCGAGTGTCGAACCCTTAGGCAGATAATGAAAATAAAATTAGGTCGTGTGAGTTTATCACTGTAACATATGTTAGCAATTTCGTTACACGCGGATGTGAACAAGCTGCTGCGGCTTTCAGAATTGCTTTCATGTCGTGGGGATTTTTTGTATGCAAACTTACGAATAACGAACAGGAATCGTTTCTCTCAAATTTGTGCGAGTGTGCGTCGAACGTTGATGGAGGTAAAAATTGGCACGCGGAACGAGTTCACTGAGTGCGTCGGTGAGATAAGATGACTCTGATAATATAAACTGATCTTACCGGAAGCCTGCGGTTTCAACTTACAGCTCGTGTTGGTGTGGCATTCTACCGAATCTTTGCAAGTAGGCTTAATTTTCTGGAAGTTTTTCAGTTTTTTCCCAACTTTTAATTTGTTAATTTGTGAGATGAGACTGAAACAAAGCAGTTGACAAACTTGGGGAGAGGATTGGTGGCTTTGTGCATTGTGTTAGGGGACTGATCATGAATGAGGGGATCAGGATTGAAGTTATGCTCAGGGAGATCTAATATTGCAAGACAGCAGTTGTTTCTGATGTTTTCCTTTGACATTTTGCATGGGAAATTGGCACGGGGCCAGTAAGAAATGATCCCCGTGAGCATGCCTTAGGTTTGAGTGCTGTGTTCTTGACTTAATTAATTAGCCCTTTCACCCCCAAGATTTCATAAGTAATTCTTGTTACTGACTGCCATACAATTCTTATGTTGTTAGTTCAGGGAGTTTAGCATTGGATCAACTAATAATCCCTTAAATTGATATTTTTCTTGATAATCATCACTTCTCTGCATAATATATTTATCGATGTTGTAAGGCAAAATTCTGTCTTGGTCATGCATGGTACTCAAACTGAAGCTAGGGCTTGTGACTTTATCCTTAAAACTATCCCTTCCAAGAGGACCAGGCGAGCCCCTCTTCCTGTCATGCTGGTAGGAACTGGGGATGTGTGTGAGGGATTCAGACTGCTTAGCCTCTTGATTCACCGTGTTCTTTAATTTATGAATTTAGTTTGTGCTGAAGCTTGTAATTAAAGAAGTTATATGTTACCATATTTCCTTACCATTCAACTTGCAGCCTTTATATCAACAGATGTGGGTCCAGCCATTGTGACAACAAGTCCAGAGAAGTTCCAGGAACGTCTAGACAATCTGTTGGTTCAAGGGGGAGGGGATTGTCCAGAAATGTCCTTGAATGCAATCATTTTAGCTCTAGAAATCAGCTTGCCTGGCTCTTTCATATATGTCTTCACTGATGCAAATGCAAAGGACTTTGATCAAACTCAAAAGGTGACAGTGAAATTATTTGCACTTTATACCTTCTGAGGTACTTTACCTTGATTTAGTTTAACTCTTCTTCACACACCAGCATAAGTATCTACATCTACATTTATGTTCAGTCCGTAAAATTGTATAGAAATTGCACCAACTATTTACAGCTAAAAAATAATGTCTAGAACTATATATTATGCTCTCTATATGAAAGTTAAGGGAAGAAATAGAAGATCTAATTATTGTTATTAATTAAATAATTTAAAAGCTCAGATTTAAAATGTTCAAGGGTGGTGGAGTTGACAATGTCCTTAGGTAAGCTATTCCAACTTCTTATAGTTCTGGGAAAAAAAAATAAAAATAAATGTTCATAGTGGCTTTCTCTTGAATGTATCTAAAATTTTGGCAGCACATGTTCTAAGTGCAGTGCTTGGGCACAGGTAAAAATTAGTGTGCAATTATTTTTAACACATTTCCTAAGGTGTTTACAAAAGAATTTGTTTAACCCTTTATCCCCAAGGGTGATTAACATATCATTTCTCCTAACAGTATTACCCCTGAATCAAACATAAATGTCATGAGAATAAAGGATATGATCGGCCTCTTGATTGTTGAATTGATTGTTGAAGCTCTTGATTGTTAAACAAATTCTCCTTTTCTGCCCTTGAGGAAATGCATAGAGAACAGTATTGGGAATATATATACTGATCTTAGGGTGGAAAGGGTTAGCAATCTAGAGCTTGTTTTGTCTTTGATCATTTATTTTATTCTTGTGACCTTAATGTTTGAATTGGGGATGGTGTTGTATGGAGAAATTGGATGCTTGTCACTCCCAAGGGGTTAAAGGTTAATGGGTTAAGATATCCACACACCAGAATTAATGTGAAATTAAATCAAATGATTGTAGCCTTATGGTCATGTTATTGTTCTTGTGAATACAGTGAAATTTACTTAAAGTAAATAACAGATATGCCAATCACTGCAAATTTGAAATATGGAGGTAATGATTTGGAAAGGGTACCACTCCTCTTAAATGTTTTTAAATTTACCTTTCTGTCCCAGTCTCTCTTTGAAACTGTAAATAGCTTATCTTTGAATGGGAAGTTTTTTTTTTTTTTTCAGTAGAGCTGAAATGAACATGATTTCTTCTCTGTTAACTGTTAAAGTTTTTTGGGGGAGCTGCAGTGGCCTAACTGTCAGTGCATTGAACTACTGGTCAGCAGGTCCAGTCTGGAGAACTGACCAGGTCATCATGTTGTGTTCTTATACAAGATGCTTGACTCTCACATAGGATCTTTTCATTAAAGGGTATAGGA